GAAGCGTCCCTCGAAACATTCTCTCTTTCTTTTTACCCCCTTCCTTTTACTTTCTTACTTTCAATGCCGTCCTTCCTCCCTTACACAAGTTCCCAAAGAAACCGTTGCGTTTAAGTCAGGGACTTCGATATCCAAGGACGTTCGTCGTTCCTCATTCCTCATTTCTTCCTAGCTTTGCCAATCCCCGCGTGTTTCTGCATCGTCGGAGTCGTAAAGCGGTTGGTGTGGAACGCTAGAATAAGTGAGGGAAGGGGCAAGAAGGATCTTATTGGACGTTGACCTGGCAACGGCTCAACTGTTGCTCCCATTCGCGTATCCGGGAGTCTACGACGATGACAACTATCAAAAAGGGTTTTACCCCTTTTTTTCTAGGGATACTCCAACATCAAAAGCTAATGTTTTGTTTCGTTTGGATTATCAAACCACCCTGTTGTGGTTACAATTAGACGATCTTCCTAACTCATTTGTTATTCGAACATAGGAAAAGGGTTGTTTTATAAAGAAAAAATACGATCGATCGTATATTTCATTCCCAATATCTGTTGGAAGAGGGAAAAAAAATTTTCGGCTCCTATTACCGTGTGTGTGTGTGTGTATGTGTGTGTAAAACTGAGAGTGAGAGTAAAAAAGGGATGTGAAGGAAGAGAGGAGAAAAGCACATTGGCCAAGCCTCCTCTCCTCGACGATCGAACAAGCCGTTAATCAACCGAACACGCACCTTGTTCTTTGAGCACCCTCTGTCTATGTTGGTGCAGCCAATCGAGAACGCTATTAGCGGTTCCGTTCGTGGTCATGTTCAGGCTCTGCCTCGAATAAAGCGAAAGCCCGTTAAGGTAAAAAAAGAAAAAAAAGAAGAAGAAGATAAAAAAAATGTATTTTTATAGAATACCTCTCGCTGCATGAAGAATCCTCCTCTAATGGGGAGGGAAAAACGCGGCGACACACAAGTGTGTTTCGACTAAACCTTACACGGTAAAAATGCACCCCCCCCCTCCCTCCACACACACACACACACACAAACACATATTCCCCCATACGGAGTTTCAATGTGGAAAAAGTAAGATGAAGTCCGTTTTCACGGTCCACCTTTTCTGAGAATTTTGGATGTTGGACGATTGCCAGATTTCTTTGTAGATATATACATAATTTTCCAAAGCGTGGATATGTAATATCTTCGAGCACATATAGTCTCAAGTCTATAAATACTGATTTTCTTCTGAAAGTCTGAAGTCCTTCTTAAACGATTGAAAACTTTTATCATATTGCGAGATTTCTCACAATCGTTTGCGTTAACTAACGATTAGCCAATTACAAAATAAGCAAATGAACAATTCCAACAAATGTTACTTACAACACACGTGCATCAATCCAACCATTTTTTTTTTTTTTTTTTTTTAACGAGAGGAATGACAAAGTAGAGATAAGAGTGAAACGACTAGGATCCTGAAGCTTTGCAGATCCCATAACGTTTAGTTAATATTGAAAAATAATATAAAACAAAACCCACACCAGGTTTCATCCCCATTTTCTAATGGTCATCGACTAATCACATCTGATCATTGATTATAAAAAGAAATAGGGCAAACAAAAATGATCAACAGTGGACTTGTTAGAAGTGGAAAGTGTTGTTAGACAATATCATCAAATAAAATGATCAAAAATTTGTCAAATGCACTTAGGACGAAGACTACAACGATGAGAGGCATCATCTCATCATTGGTGGTGTCCGCGAACAGCAACCTGTCATGCAAGGAGCAAACGATCGTAGTGCCCTCTCGACGCCGGTAGTCGCGTCGATAAGCATGCGTGATGGCGCCACCAATCCTCTCTCTCTCTCATACATAAATACACAACACATATACACAGTTTTTCTCTCTCTCTCTCTCTCTCTCTGGCGCGCGCAAACCATTCCCCTCTTTTGCTCTTTACCACGGCACGGCATGTTCTTCGTCCACCCGGCCGGTCTTCTCTCTTTCTATCTTTTTCTCTCTATTTCTCTCTTTCTCTCTCTCTCTCTCTCTCTAAACCACATCCTCTCTGGGTGTGGTTCGAGAACGCGTCGTCGTTGAATCTCCTACACTACCCTTTTTTTTTTATACAAACTCTCTCGTATATGACACTCATATTACTTGTTATTTGTTCTATTTAAACTCATTTTACTCAACCCATGTAAAATCGTCGATCAAAACACGTACGTCTCTCTCTCTCTCTCTGTTACACATGCATGTATGTATATGTGAGATTGTATATGTGCTAATTCACTTCCCCGCTCTCCTCTTTCTCTTTGATTCTGTCTAGAGTGTTTCGAAGAAAGAAGATAGATAAATAGATAGATAGATAGAGTGTGTGCGAATACGAGAGAGTGAGAGAGGGAGTTGTGGGGGTGTAGGGAAGAGGGTTGCGAGAGCAGAGGGGCAAGACGTCGGTCGGTCGGTCGGTCGTTCATCGATTCGTCGCTCTCCCACGGTGATGGTGGTGGTGGTGGTGGTTGTGGTGGTGGTGTGATGTACTATGCTGTACTGTGCTTGTTCTGTACTGTGGTGTTCTCTCTACTGTTCTCTCTTCAGTTCTGTGAACGCGGCATTAAAGAGAAAGCTCTATATAATAAAATAAGCACGGCCAATGAGCGAGCTCTTCCTAACGTGTGTGTGTGTGTATGTGTGTGTGCATGGCGAGTGTGTCATCTATCTTCTTTGAATCGCATCTTGCGTATCGAAGTTTGACGAGTCAAGTTGGTGGTTGCTTGATGAAAAGAAAAGTCTCTTCACATTTTTCGTACCGGCAATAACAGCAACAGTAGCAAAGAAGAATAAGAAGAAGAAGAAAAGAAAAAGGGGAAGTCCAAGAAAGGGTTGGGGTTGTAGTGGTGGTGGTGGTGGGGGTAGTAGTTGCACCAGGGAAGGGGTAAAAGTTTTTTTTTTTATATAGGAAGATAAGAGGAGTTCTTCTCGCACAAGGAGGAACTTCCTCTGTTTCGCTTCCGTGACTCCTTTGGATGATAGAAAGCGCAACCTGGCGCCGAACCACGCAAATATTATCGCTTCTCATTTCTCCTCCATCTCCACCTCCACCTCGTCTACTTTCCTCTCCTTTTCTTCCTCTTCCTCCGCCTCCTTCCCTTCCTTCTTTTCCTCCTTCCCCTCCTTTTCTTCTTCCGCTTCATCCTCCTCCTCTTTCTCCGCTTCCTCCTTCGACGGTTTCGTCGTACGTCGCACTCGTCGCGGAGGTTATGTTCGTGTTAGCTCGATGACGCTCTGACAGGAGTGGATGAGGGAAGGCGAGTGTAAGTTCGATAAAGTCTCTCTCTCTCTCTCTCTCTTTCTTTCTATCTTTTTCAACCATTTCTTTATCATTTGTTTCCCACCCCTTTTTGGGTTTTCTTTAAATTGGAAATATGAAAAAAGAAAAAAAGAAAATGGCGTGTTCCGATTGGCCAAGATTCGATATGGGGGTTTACTTTACTGTTTTCCAAATTTTGGTGCAACATTTGGAAAAGGTCATTGGTGCCAAATTAATCCAATCAGTAGAGATTATCAGTGTCTTTTGTAGTGGTGGTGGTGTTGGTTGGTGGTGGGAGTAAATATAAAACCAATGACATTAAAATATATGGGAGAGAGCCTGTTGTTCAGCATGAACATCAAGAGAATATCGATAATCGATTGTACCAGCTAGTACAACTTACTGAATTAAGATCGAACCGGCCATATTTCTTTTTCTCCCTTTCCTCTCTTTCCATCTTTTTCATTGAATAATTGTCAATCTATCATCAATTTATTTTCAAATAGATTTCAATAGGGTTGTGTTCATTGACAACATATTCGTTCAATGGGATGACAGGATTATTGAAAATGAGACCGTTAGGAAAACTAAAAAAAGAAGAAGAATCGATGGGAATACGTGTTGGTGTTTCAAGGTTCGACAAACCAACAAAACAACAAAAAAATTCTGTCAGAAAGAAATGACTCCTCCTCCTTCTCCTCCTCCTCAGTTCTCTACACAACCTACACCATCTCCATCTCTCCATTTTCATAAAGATGTTCATTGAGCATGCGCCAAAAGTATTTCGCCGGCTCCGTAAAATGAGAACACCTTGCGTTGGATCGACAACCCCCGGTTTCCCCGGGTTGCGATACCACCTTTTGGAGGTGAAGGACGCTCGTTGCCACCGTTTTTATTCCACCTCGTGCCGACGCACCAAATTTCTTTTTTCTTGTTGTTTTCACTGAAATCCCTTTAAAAATCGATCATTTGCCTAAGAATTTTGTTCCTTCCTTTCAAGATTTAGTTGATTCAGATTGTCAAACTTTTATTCTGTTTGTTTTCTTTCTAAATTAGTACGGATAAAATATTTGACGCCGTTTAATTCTTATCTAACAGCGAATTGTGAAATTTGAAGGTTTATTTTAGGAGTTTATGTAATCTATCAAATAAAAAAAAAAAAAAGAAAAATAAAACCAAGTGTTTGGAAATAACGAAGTTGTGTATAGTACGATGATTCACGTGTTTCATCGAAGTTGTCGGATTCATTCTATCAAAATTTCCTCGATAAAAAATCAAATTTCTAAAACAAAACAAAACATTAACCAACAATCGAATATCTTTAATCGTAAGAGTAAACCGAAAGTAGGTAGGGGGAGGAGGTTATGAATCGGTGCAAAAACCCATGATAAAGAAAAAAAAAGTGCAATCCTTATCTCTAGGCAAGAGCCATTTTATCTGTTATTTGCGAAAGATGGGCCTTATCGTGCGATTTCTGACTAGTCAGCGATGGTTGGGTTAGTTCGTTTGACTCAAGCTCATGCATCGTGTGTGTATTGCTTCATTCGATGATGAGAAAATGTGTAGGGGGAGTCATTAAAGTGTACCATCAATTGCATTGTTTCATAAATGTTTAAAAACAAAAAAATGTCTTTTACGCACATCAAACAAATGAGAAAAAGAAGACAATGAAACAAAACCAAAAAAAAAAAAAGAAAATAAACAAATTGATGATTTTTCAGGGGTGGCAACGGTCTCGCTCGGAAGCGTCGAAGGTGGCGCGAGGGGTGGACGAGTCGGCGTTGGCCTGGCTCTGGTTCTTCCGGTGGTAGCAGCAAAAGTAACAAAAGCGGAAGCGGCCAAGTTAATAGCTGAAGAAAAAACTCTAGCAAGCTATTCTCGGCTAGAGATAGCAACAGTAATAGCAACAGTAGCAGTAGTAGTAGTAGTAACAGCAACAGCAACAGCAGCAGTAGGGTTACTTGAAGAAAGGCTAGTGTCGTCATCATCCGGCGGACTGGGAACGCTGTATATCGAAGAAGAAGAAGGAGAAGAAGAAGAGAATCATCGCAAGAAGAATCCTATTATTCTTGTCCTCGTCCTTGCATTCTTACCTTTTCTCCTCCCTCCACTTTCTCCTCCAACTCCGCTTCCACCTGCTCCTCCACCACCTCCTCCACCACCGCTACCTCCAACTACAACACCACCTCGTTCATCTTCGTTCAACGTTCAAAAACATCTTCTTCTTCTTCACGGCGAGTTATCAAATTCTTCGCAGGAAGAAAGTGAAAAGAAAGAAGAAGAAAAACAAGAACAACAACAACAACAACTACTACTACTACTATTACAAGGAACACAATCGACTGCGTGACACCGGTGTAACATCGGTGGGCCAACGAGGCCCTCCTGTCGCGTAAAAAGCAACAAACAATCTCTCATTTATCTTTAAAACTAAACTATTCTAAGCCTTACTTCCAAAAAAACTACTACGACGAACGGATACTTCTTCTAATCCCGCTCGTTAAACGGACTATCGAGAAGTACAGAAAGTCGAAGCAAACACGACGGGCACCATGAATGAGCTCGACAGCCTTCGCCAGGAGTCGGAGACCCTCAAAAATTCTATTCGAGTAAGTTTCCCCGAATATAATAGGAGTCCCGATCACACCCACATTGTTTATTTTTTCTTCTTCCCTTCATCCTCCACTTTATCCTTCCTCCAATGTCTTTATGTTATTGACGTCGTTGATGATGATCATGCTGTGAAGAAGATTGCTGACCTAAACAGATGATGAATGAAATTCGAATCCTCCTAAAGTTCGGTTATCTTCGATAATCGTCACCGAAGTAAGTTTCAACCTCCCATTTCAAATAGTTTCATCGATTTGTTGTAGATTTAATCCTACATTTCACTCTGTTAGCTTTTGTTGCCCCCCCCCCACACACACACAACATTGACTTTGATTACCTAGAAAAAGGAAAGATAAAAGAGTAATGTACAAAATGAATAAGACTTATTTACAGTATGTTAATCAAGAGAACACTGAATTCGTTCTCAAGCATATTCGTAATAATATCTCATCGTTATCACCAAAAAGAATTCGTGCAAATTCCCTACCACCCTTTTTTTTTTGTTACTCATAGTCGACTGGTGCTGGCAAAGCTACTGCTTTACTTTGCTTTAACTTGCCTCTGCTAAGCTCCCCAAAGACAAAGCAACAGTTCTACGTGCAACAGCGGTGCATTGTTTTAAAAGATAAAAGTCTCGGGCATCTCTCGGGCGAAGTGCACTTGCCGCTAAACACGGTCTCGACCCCCCATTCATTCCTTAACGAGTCACCGACTCCTTTTTGCATTTTTTTTTTATCTTCTTATTCTTATTCTTCATCCTTGTCAATCGTATTTATTTATTTACACAAGTGAAAAATTAACACAATTTTATCCTTCAAAAAAGACCCTAATATCATCGCACAAGATTTTAAACCAAGGCCGTAATTCTAGACACGCGTCAAATTTGATTTGTTATTGTTCTAACAAAAGCTTGCAGTAAACTAACCAACCTAGTCTCTTGTTTTTAGATACCCGTTGAATTGCTGGTATATATTCGTTGATTAAAAATAACTCGACTGAGAAAGAGTGATAGAGGGTGGTATAGTTAAGAGTGCTGGTGTTGGTGATAAAAGTAGCATAATAACGGAAGCACACAACACAACTCCTAAGCAGAGAAAAAAACCCTGAGACCTAGCGTGCAGCACCCCCCAGAAGAAGCTTTCTGTATGGTGGTGAGATTGTAGTAGTAGTAATAGTAGTGGTGGTTAGTGATGGTGGTGGTGGTGGTGGTGGTGAAACACGCTAGTCGCTAGCCATGTTGGTGCTCTGTGGTGGTGGTGGTAGGGCGCGGCATAGCCATCGCTTCTCTGATCAATACGCCACCATCCCTCTCTCTTTCTTTCTCTTTCTGTCTGTTTTCCTTGCTCACTCTTCTTCGTCTTGTTTCTCCTATTCTCATACATGTGAGGACTCTATCTTATCACTTCTTTTTTTTCTGATCAATAATATCGATCAGTTCATTATAAATCATTTACCATTAAAAAAAGTGATTCCCCTCAGCCTACACTTTTGGGGTCTTTCAAAACACACAACCCATACACACCCAATACGATTGACAAGGATGATTTAGGATTGATAGATGTTAAATTGATTGTGGATAATTTGGTTTCTCTTAGGATGCCAGAAAAGCTGCATGCGACACCAGCTTGGAACAAGCGACGGCCGGCTTGGAACCAATTGGTCGAATACAAATGCGTACGAGACGTACTTTACGAGGTCACTTAGCTAAGATTTATGCTATGCATTGGGGAAGTGACTCTAGGTATTATCAGAAATACTCTAATCTTGTCACCCTTTCTGTATTTTGGGTTTTGGTTGTTTATAAATCGAAGGTTTGATTTGTAGAAATTTAGTATCCGCCTCGCAAGACGGTAAGCTGATCGTTTGGGATAGTTATACGACCAACAAGGTACACGCCATCCCTTTACGTTCATCGTGGGTGATGACCTGCGCGTATGCACCGTCGGGTAGTTACGTGGCTTGCGGTGGCCTGGACAACATATGTTCCATTTATAGCCTTAAAACAAGAGAAGGAAATGTACGGGTCAGCAGAGAATTACCAGGACATACCGGATACTTGTCCTGTTGTCGATTTTACGACGACAACCAAATCGTTACTAGCTCCGGTGACATGACCTGGTAAGAAATGGATCCCTTTTCAATTGAAAAAAAAAAAAAAAAACTTATATGAAGTCTCTAATTCTTGATACATTTGAGAATCCTATTTTATAATACCTCAAATTCATGTCAATGACAAGAATTTGATCATTTTGTAATTTTGATTCAGTGCTCTGTGGGATATTGAGACTGGTCAACAATGCACTTCGTTCATCGGTCACACAGGAGACGTCATGTCCCTATCGCTGGCTCCCGATACGCGTACCTTCGTTTCCGGTGCGTGCGACGCTAGTGCTAAACTTTGGGACATTCGTGAGGGGTCTTGCAAACAGACTTTCCCTGGACATGAGAGTGACATAAACGCCGTTACGGTAAATCACACACAAACACAGTAATATTTTGTTTGTATTTTTGTCAGGAAAGCTGATTTCGTCATACGCAACGATTGATAACGTTAATCGCGGTTTAACAAATAACATTTTTTTATTTGGGTACAGTTCTTCCCTAACGGACACGCTTTCGCGACGGGTTCGGATGACGCTACTTGCAGACTATTTGACATCAGAGCGGATCAAGAACTGGCGATGTACAGCCACGACAATATTATTTGCGGTATTACGAGTGTAGCTTTCAGCAAGAGCGGTAGATTGTTGTTAGCTGGCTACGACGATTTCAATTGCAACGTATGGGATTCTATGAAAGCCGAGCGAGCTGGTACGTTTGTCCATCTTAATATAATTTTGCATTTTTTGCCACGTTGCTGCTTATTAAGTTCACAGTGAAAGGGTTAAGAATAGTAGGGGAGAGAAGAATTTTGGATTTAGGGCCTTCTCTCACGTATACTGTTATTCCTTTAGGTACTACAACACACCCAAACACACAATATAATTGACAATTCTATTGAACAAATATAAATTGTTTGTTAAAAGGTATACTCGCTGGTCATGACAATCGCGTATCTTGCCTTGGTGTAACGGAAGATGGTATGGCCGTAGCGACGGGATCTTGGGACTCATTCCTTCGCATTTGGAACTAACTTGGGGCTCCCCCCAAGACGTTCCTCCAAAGAACCAACTGCAGCCAGTCCGCGTACAATATAAGCATCAGATACCACCATCTTATCACGGAGCAACAAGCCGGCGTGCCAGCAGTCGCGACATCATCGGTCAACAATGAGCCACCGGTTACAACACCGGAGGTTAAGCTGATCAGAAACTTTGGATATCCGACGAGCAGCGGTAACGGAACCAAATGTAACAACAATAATATTAATTATTACAACAACAACAACTACAACAGCAGCAGTAATAGTAACAGCAACAACAATTACAATAACAACATTAATAATGGCACAAAGATAAAGAAGAAGCACAAGAATTGCAGCAATAGCAACAACAGAAACAACAGTAGTAGCAGTAGCAGCAGCAGCAGCAGCAGCAGCAGCGACTCTAAGAACGTTTTGGGTTGTGATGGTAATAATAAAAAAAAAGACTACCGTAATAGACGAATAGTCGTTGACTTAACCTGGCGACGTGGCAAAGTCGGCGACAAGATTACCCGCGAGTATCAACGCTTCTAAGTCAAAACTTATTTTTACCATCGTTTTCGGATGCTCAATTTTTCAAACTAGCGAAAAGAAAAGAAGAAGAAGAAGAAGAAACAAGATGATGATAATGATGATAGTGAGGAAGAAGAAAAAGAAGAAGAACGAGTTGTAGAAGAAGAAATAAAAAAAAGAGAACGAGGAAATGGAATATTAAAATGGTGGAAGAAAAAGGAAGCAATCGAGAAAATAAAAACGAAGAAGAAGAAGAAGAAGAAGAAGAAGTAGAAGAAGAAGAAGATGAAGATGAAGAAGAAGAAGAAGAAGAAGAAGAGGAAAAGGGAAAACGGTAAATTGTGTCGAAGTTTTGAGGTTAAAAAAAAGTTTGAGAAAAATGTAGAACTGGAAATACCAAAAAAAAATAAATAATAATATTAATAATAATAATAATAATATTAATAATAATAATAAATAATAATAATAAATAATAATAATAATAATAATGAAAACAAGTTAACATAAAAAAGAAAAGAGAGAGGAGAGCATCAGCAGACGGGGGAATACTTGTCGAAGAATAGTCGTCGTTGTCGTCGTCGTCGTCGTCGTCGTCGTCGTCGTCGTCGTCGTCGTCGAAAAAAAAACTATTTAAAAAAAAAAAAAATAAAAAAAAGAACTATACAATTAAAATCTCTCGCCATTACGTTCGCGAGAAGGATAAAGGAAAAAAAAAGAAACTACGTTGCTTCCTTGTTTCTTTGGGCTCCTCTTTCCTTCCTTTCTCCAGAGGACCGAACACGCGTTACAAGTTTAATCCATGACGCCGATGTGACGCCCAATCCTTTTTTTGATTAGGAGAAAAAGAGAGAAAGAGAGAGTGAGAGTGAGAGTGAAAGACAACATTTGTTTAAACAAAGGAAGCAACAGCAACAACAACAAAAGCTACATCAGCAATTGACTTTGGCTTTTGACGATCCTTTCGAAACATGAGCATATTTATTAACACAATTACACGTAGTAGATGATGATGATGATGATGATGATGATGATGATGATGATGATGATGATGAAAATACGAAAATGAATTTAACACAAAGATGAAGATGAAGATGAAGATAAAGATGAAGAAGATGAAGATGAAGATGAAGGAAAGTGTTGGAGGATCGTCCTACAAGAATAAATCCTAGATGTTGATAATCGTCTAGATATAAAAATGATGATGATGATGATGATGATGATGATGATGATGATGATGAAGAAGAAGAAGAAGAAGAAGAAGAAGAAGAAGAAGAAGAAGAAGAAGAGGAGAAGAATATAATAATAAAAAAAAAAAGAAGAAGATGAAGAAGAAGAAAAAAAAAAGTAATGAACTTTTAAATAACTTGACCTTGAACGTAAGGTTCCGAGCGTTCACTGCCGATAAAAGACGCCGACGCGAGGCGCGACGAGACAAAATTAATAAATTAAAATTTAAACAAAATAAAATATTAAAATATTAAAAAATATACAAAATAAATAAATAAATAAATAAATGAATGAATGAATGAAGAGAAATATAATAATGGTCGTACTTATTTTGTGCGATTATTATTATTATTATTCGAACGTGAAAGAGAAAAGAAGAAAATGAAGATGAAGGTGAAGATGAAGAAGATGAAAGCACTGGTATGTTGAATAAAAAACAAAAAAAAGGTTCAATGTACGAAAAGAAGAAGAAGAAGAAGAAGAAGAAGAAGAAGAAGAAGAAGAAGAAGAAGAAGAAGAAGAAGAAAATGAAGAAGATGGTGATGATGATAATGATGAAGAAAAATAAGCGGTTGTGTTGGAACAGCGGATGCAGAATTAGAAACAAAAGTTGTAACAGGAACAACCATCAATGAAGAAAACTAAGAAGATGAAAAATAAGAAGAAGAAGAAGAAGATGATGACGAAGAAGAAGAAGTCATGGTCATGATGATAATCTTTCGCACGTTGCGTTATTTTTTCTTTTTTTTTTTTTTTTTTTTCTCAACGTATAAACGCACATCGTCGTAAAAACACGCGCGCGCGCGCGTACGCATACACACGTGGTATTTAAATTA